TATAGCATAAAGCCATAAATAATAACAAATAAATTGTCTCAAGATATTTCAGATGAAGAAAATTCACAAAGATTGATAAATGTATAGTTATGATTCTTATGAACCAGTGGTACTTTGGAGGATTCTCTTCCGATAACAATTCCTGTATAGGTCCATAGAGTCTCGAGCATGGGATTTCATCTGTGCTGAAAAAGCTTGACATTGATAATCTTGGTCTTTGCCACCACTCTATGCTCAACGCTTATGAATTTGTTATAAGCTGCCAAATCAAACAAAAAGGTAACCACATCAATTTCACTTCGGAATTAATAGTTCAACAATTCATGATCTTCCTGTACTATGAAAGATATGAGAGAATATATATCTGGAAAAACTGAGAACTAAAGACTTGCCTGTAGAAGATCTCCAATGTTAACCACTAAAGCCTCGGGATTGGGGGGAACATCAATCCAGTGATTTTGATGAAGAACTTGGAGGCCACCAATATGGTCTTGCATAAGCACAGTAAGGAAGGCATTGTCCGCGTGCTTAGTTGTGCCCATCGTTAATTCTGGCTGCGGGCAGGCCGGATAGTAGTGGCAATAAAATACAAGCCCTTCAGCACAACCCATCTCTTTCAGGTGATCTGGGTTCAGCCCAAGAGCCTCAGACAGTAACTCCAACAATAAATATCCCAATTTCATTACATGCTTCGAGTACTCCATCATTATATCTCTGCAAATTTGCATCGGAAGTGACAAATGCCATATTAGACACATGACATGAAAGAAACCAGATAACAACTTAATTATAAATTGCAATTAAATCACAAAACCTGCAAGCAACTGGCAGCTCTTCTGGGGTGGGAGGATGAGGAGCCATGATACAAGACATCGTATCTCTCCAATTAGTTCATGGTCCAGAATACAAATCAAAATTGCTATTATAGACAACCCTTTTGGTCATATCACGAGTGTAGTATTCTTTTTTCACCTCAGTATCTTGTTCATGAAACTTGCGTATGCCATCCATCATCTCTTTAAGAGCGCTCCCTGGAATCCCATGATTGATCACCTGAAAGAATCCCCACTCCTCCGATGCATTTCGGACTCTTTCAACAATCCTCTTCCGTAGAATTGGATCTTTATCAAGTCCTTCAAGATCTGTTATAGGAAAACTAAACTGATCGTCACCAGAAACCTTAGAATTACCATTAAAGTTGTCGTGCGGATGATAAAATATTTGGGGAATTTTATCGATTCCAGCGTTAACAAGTCCTTTAACACCAGCTTTCGTGTCATCAAAAGCTTTTAATTCACTTGCTCGATCGTAGTTCATTTCTAACAATTACTTTCACAGTAAAATTTTAAATTAACAAAAACACACCTATCTATTCAAGTAACTGTTGGTCATGGGCATCGGAACGATGCACGATTGGTTGAATCTGGTCAGAGATCTAGCTGTTGACAACGGCCAAAAAACGATAGCCATATTCTGACTGTTTTCGGCCAAATACACGATGGATCTTGTCAAAAAATATTAGATCGGTGTACAATCGACTAGATCTAGCCGATCACACGCTATTCTGACGATTGCCAGCCACCGTTCGGCTGCCAACAGTCGGTTGGATGGATATGAGTGTTTTTGTTAATTTATAAACTTTTATTGTGTGAAATATTTAGCTAAATTAATAAATATAGAGGATTAAAAAATAATCTAAATATTTTCAGAAAATGTTTTCAGAAAATATACTAAACACAGTTATATATATATACAACTATTGTTGCCCACTTCGAAACTACAAGCCTACTTTGAGACAAAGCAAAAGTCGTGGCATTTTTGCTTACCTAATATAACGGCAAAAAAAGAATAAATCTTATACTAACTCTTGTATTAATTAAATTACTATACAAATTGAGGGCATATATATATACAACATTTTTATACAAATTTTCTCTAACAAATTTAAAATTTAAAATAAACTTTCACCCAATATTTTTTGCCACATAAGTTTGTTAGAAAAAATTTGTTTAAAAAGGTTGTGAATATAATATTATTCACACACACAAACCTATGAACCAAATACTTATTTTTATGATCTAAACATTAACCCTTATGCTAAATAGGGCTCTCTCAATGCAATTCAACATGTGTTCAATTTTAAACTACTATTATATTTGATGAGAAACAAGTTAATTTTATTCCTATAATTCATAATAAATTTCATCATCTATATTATGTTAGAACCAGGATATTGATTAACAACTTCAAGACGTGTATCAATGCCACTTTAGTAAAGAAAATTTCGCCCCTTTATAGTGCAAAATAGGATCAGCAAATTTCTTTAAGATACAATGAAGAACCTATTTGTGTTATGCACAAAATAAAAGCAGAGTAGAGAGAGTTTTGATTATACTAGATTTTTAGTCTTCTTTTTAGTGCACTTTTACGGAAAATCTTACTTCTTATATACGATTGTTGGTACCTTTTAAAGAGAAGGTTGTTAATGTGTGAAGCCTTCAAACTGTGCCAATTTGGGCTTTATTGATGCACTGCCATTTCAAGTAATCTCCCTTGCATTCCTAGCCAGTGATCTCTAAGTAATCCAACGGTTGAGGACTCCTCTGGTGGTCAACCATATAAAAGCCGAAGCTTTCCCAATTTGCACAGTTCACTTCGATTGAAATCACGATAAGAAAGTCCTCTGCTAGGGTTCTTTGTCAATCACTGTTCTCTTGTGTAAATCGGTTGTAGATCCACCCAAAAAGTTGTGTTTCTTTTATAGGTAGAGAATCAGGGTTAGATTTCTCTTTAGGATTATAGATTTACGGTAGCAAGAGTGGAGCGATTGTGATTCTTGCAAGTGAGAGTTTGAGTGCAAGATTGAGAGTGTAATCTGTAATTCGGTGATAGTAATAATAGTGCAGTGAGCCTCAATATTTTGGAGCTCAACGTTGACGTAGCTTGTTCAATCTTGAACAAGTGAACCATGGTAAAAGATTGTGTGTTGTTCTTTCGTGTTTTGATCTATGCTTGGTTGATTAGTTTCTTAATCTTGATTAGGTAGACTCAAATTTACAACAAAGGTACCTTTTGGAAAACCCTTTAAGATATGGACAACCTTTTGAAGGTACATGATCTTTTGAAGGTACATGGTCTTTTCAAGATACATAACCTTTTAATAATAGACATACCCAATTAGGAAAAATGTCTCACATATTAGAAATTGAGATTTATGGCACATCATTTTAAAACGAATAAAGATAATATATATATATATATACTCTGAAGTGTTCTATGCATCCTTCAGCTTTGCAAGAATTGATAATGTAGAATGTAATGAATAACATTTTACATGTTTGCTCTGAGCTGAAGGATATATATATATATATTACTGTGAAGTGTTCTATGTATCCTTCAGCTTTGCAAGAATTGATAATGTAGATTGTAATGAATAACATTTTACATGTTTGCTCTGAGCTGAAGGGTGGCCTGATTATTGAATGCTCTCTCAGACCCATCCCATATTGAACATAACTTAGGCTTTAGTAAAGTACACAAATACGATCAAAGTGTTGGAAGAGTACATCATCAAAGAAAACTGGAAGCAGATATATAAAATAACAAATATCAAATAAGTACAAATATATATATCTATATATATATGCATTATAGTTGTGTATTTGGATGGGAATATATTTAGCGGCTTGAGGTGGGGGAAAGATAAGAAAGCAAGTCATGGTCACTTCAAATTTGGCCATGTCTTCCTCTGTCAAGTGAACCCATGCCTCTATTCCATCTCCACATTTGGTGTCCATTAAAACAACTAAATTCCTGTAAGGCAAACTACCACAAGCCACCCATTTTGGCTTCCCCAGCCCAAATTCAGCTTCATATACAAGAAACCTACAAAAACACAACTTTATTATCCAAATTTATATTCCAACGACAAGAGCAAACTCAACCCAGACTGTTTAGGCTTTTGAAGAGGGGAGGCCGATGAGTCCTTAGGTGTTAGATGGCAAGGGCGGATCCAGAAATTTCTGTTAGGGTAAACCAAAATAAATGAACATTAATATTTTTGTCTATTAATATTTCTGTTAGGGTGGACCAAAATCCAGAAATTGTACATATATATATTTTAAACTTATTGCATCCGCCCCTAGTGGAGGTTAGATTTTGGTGGTTGTGATTGATTGGAATTTGATTTGGGAGAGGCGGCTATGAAAACCTCAATTGCTCGATTACCAACGATTTATTGGTTCGGCGGTAGTATGGTTTGAAGGGTTTTCATAAGTGATAATTGAGGAAAAAAATGGTGATGATGTGGGGTCGCAATGATGCCAAAATCGGAAATGGAATATAAATTTAGATAATAAAGTGATATTTTAAAAGTTTATGGGTGGAAGTGTCATTAAGTCATTAGTTGAGTGGGAAAAAGTCGTTTACTCTTTGAATTTTTTGCAAAGCATATAAAAGACATTCAAGTAAAGTGCTTGGCATTTATATTATCAAAATTTTAATTTTGATGAGTAAAAGCTCCGTAAGGTCAGTCTCAATGACTCAAAACTCAGTTAATAGAGACCTAATCACCACTTGACCCATGAAAATTGAGCCTTAGCCCGTAGGGCATCAGCCAGGAATAGAATGGGCTTCAAAAAGAGGCCCTGAGGAGGACCCAGAAACTCAACATTGATCTTTCTCGTGTCGTGGAATAACAGTCACTAGACCAAAGGGAATTCGTTATTCCAACCGCAAACTACTATTGCAGATCACTCCCTTAACCTTAAGTACTTTGGTAAGGCAGTATTTTACAATGATTGACAAAACCAATAGCTGAACTTAACGATGATTATGGATATTCTTTTAAATCTTCATTGCCAAGTTCATAGCCTGTAATGAAGCAGCGCAGAAGTACCATCAAGAGGCCTTTTTTCCTGAAGTAAATAACATAGTCTCTCACTGTGGTTTCCCTGTACTTTGGAGGATTCTCTTCAGATAGCAATTCCTGTATAGGTCCATAGAGTCTCGAGCATGGGACTTCATCTGTGGTGAAAAAGCTTGGCGGGAGCAAGGTTTGAAGAGTTTTGGTGAGTGGTGAGTCGGGAAGAGAATGGAAATGGCGTGGGTTCGCAAAGATGCCAAAATCCCTCTATGGTTTTTTTGTGACAAAGTTTTCTGTGAACTCTCTATGGTTCTTTTGTGTTTCACCATTACATTCTTCTCGCAGAGCATTTGTACTCCAGGACTTTGTACTCAGATATCTGGTGATGCCCTATCTCTTATGTCTGTAGAATAAGTATAATATAGATTTATCAAGAAGTGACTGAAAATTAAAACTTTTTGACGCTATTACAGTAGAAGCGGCAGGTTGACCCCCTCTTCCAAATCCAAAGTAACTTCACAGCTTAAAATGTTCCAGTGCAGAGGTTCCATTAAATCCTTCTGGTTTTGGATGCATGAATTTAATTTTTAAATAATCGTTTTCAGTTGTTTCCCTGTAAACTGGGGGATTCTCTTCCGAAAGCAGCTCTTTTATTGGACCGTACAATCTAGAATGCTTCCCTTGTGCTCTGAAGACACATGCTACCGAGATTCTTGGGCCTACGTTTTTCGCCAGCACTCTATGATAGACGCTTTTGAATTTGTCATTGGATATCAGCTGTAGGAAGACAGAAGTTAAAACCAATCACACCTTATTTATTTTTTGATACAACCTAGATTTACCTAGTAGGTTTAGGTGATTAACAATGAGAATCTAATTACTGTTAAGATCATATAACATTCCAGCCGACAGCTCTAAAATAAGAGATCAATAAATAAAGCATGTTTATTTGTAAGTACGTTGACTTGCCTGTAACATATCTCCGATGTTTACAATTAGAGCTCCAGGAACTGGGTTAACATCAACCCATTGATCTTGATGGAGGACTTGAAGGCCACCCGTTTGGTCTTGCAAAAGAACGGTGATGAAGGCACTATCAGTATGCTTGCTAAGGCCTAAGGTTAACTCTGGTTCTGGGCATGCTGGGTAGTAATGACCGACAAAATTTAGTCCTCCTGCGCAACCCATTTCTTTCAAGTGGTTGGAATTCAGACCAAGAGCTTCCGAGATCAGTCCAAACACTGTCACCCCAACCTTCCTTATTTCATCACAGTAGTCGATCAGTATATCTCTGCAAGTTGGTCAAACATGCAATAATATTCAGGTCTTTTGAAAGGATAAAATTAAGTTTCAGATTAAAATAGACCAATATTGGTGTTATTGCATACCTGCACACTGTAGGCAATTCATCAGAATTAGCTGGGAGGGGAACCATACGACAAGATAATGTATCTCTCCAATTAGCTACCGGTGCTCGATATAAATCAAAATTGCTATGATACACCGCCGCTCTTGTTTCATCACGAGAATACAACTCTTTCTTTACCTCAGTATCTTGCTCATGAAATCTGCGTATGCCATCAATCATTTCCTCCAATATGTTTAATGGAATTCCATGATTGATCACCTGTAAGAATCCCCACTTCTCACAAGCATTTCCAACTTTGCCAACTATTTCACAGCGTAGGCTTGGATCTTTATCAATGCCTTGAAAATCAATGATAGGAATTGTAAACTTGCAGCCTCCAGAACCTGATTTGTCACCGGGCTCATATTGCTCATCAATGAAAATCCGTGGAACTTTTGCAGCTCCGGAGTCTACAAGTCCTTTCACACCCGTTTTTGAGTCATCAAAAGCCTTTAATTCACTTATTCGGTCATATGTGGAACCGCCTTCTGCCTGAATTTTGCTTGAGTTGGTGATCTCCATTTTCTTTCTTATGCAAATGGACGTTGTATATGACTCTTCTGCTGTGCTAGAAGATATAAGAAATTTTTTCAATGTATCAAATAGAATATAACATATATTTAAGAAAAAGAACAAGAAAGCATGCAGCCCAACTGTCCGATTCCCTTTGACGTTTACACTATCTTTAATCAACGTGTGGGATTAAATTAAAGTCTATAAAACTACCTACAGGTCCATTTCAGCAAGTAATTAAATTTTCTAACCTTCCCACAAATTAAGAATATTGTTTTTAGGAATTCTGCTGCCTCATTTATTATGATTATCTAGTGTACACGAAATTATCTTCTAATTAAAGCTCCAGGGGAATAAAATCCTGCTCATTAATTTGTAGGATATAGCGAGCTAGTTTCCTTAATCCTTGTCATGAGCTCACTATTTCTTGTTACAGCAAGACAGTTTTGTTTTGTCTGGGCGTGAGTTCATTTCCAGGTTGCTATAAGTAACAAGAATACAGTGCAGCTTTTGTTTTATATTGGTGGGAACACTAAATTTGTTGCTGTAATCAGATATGTTTCTACTTTTTCTCAGATAGCTTTCCAGAGCATATATACATGTTCACCGTCATCCATGACCACCATCTCTTCTTCTTCCTAACCATAATTAATTTCTTTATTTTTCCTTTTCGGATTTCAGACGCAATCAGATTGTTTAGCCTGTTTGGTTTCACAAGGCACTCCAATAATTAATAAGATTGTTTTTAAAGAATTCTTTCCCAAAATAAACAATTTTTTTTGGTTTCACAAGGCACTCCACTGAACTTAAAATTATTTTAAACCAATCAGATAGATCATCATCGATCCTTATCTCTTTTTCTTGCTTTGGAGAATACGTTGACATTATATTTTTTATCCCTTCAATTATTGAATAATATATGTCAAATTAAGAATACTCTTTTAAATTAAGTTTACTAATGTTAATTGTCTTCAACTTCCCTATCACAACTATTAAAATACAAGAAATCAATGGTTAAAAAATAGATTAACATTTTAAGTTAAAATTTTAAATTTATTTTATTTTATTATTGCTAAAAGTAATACAATTTTTTGTGTGTGTATATATATATAAAGTTGGGCTTAACCATGTGGTAGTTTATTTCACTGGTCAATTCACTTTTCCTGTCATCATATAATGAAAGAGATATTATTGAATCAACTAATATAGGGTTTGAGATCCCAACTTTATACTTATAGAATTATTAATATAAAGTTATAAACAAGTATAAAATGATTCTACCCTTACTAAAAAATTAGAGGAAATTTGGCACTTTGGCTAAGGAATTGAGGTGCATGAAGGCAGATTAATTAGGAATAGACACATACTAACTATTTTTGAGTAGTCGAGTGGTTAGATAAGAATTTTTTGGTATATTACTCAAGAGGTACTAAGTTCAAATTCATCATCAATTGCTAATAGGAGTAGTCGCTGGAGCTCTTACTCAGTTGATAGTTTCAAGGTCCCGAGGGATTAGTTGAGATGTATCCCATGTCAAAAAAAAAAAAAAAACTACTTGAAATATACAACACACAAACAGCTAAACATGTGACGTGAAAAAAATAATAATAAATGTTTGAGAAGGCAATGAATAAATTTTATTATCGTTTATTCTGCTTTTACACTATATTTTCCATTTTTTTTACTAAATATGAACTTTTTCTAAGGCCAAAAGTTTCACTGAATATCGACCTCCTTTACGTAATATCTTTACGATAATGTAGAATAATATTTCTTGGTATTCTTTCCTCGTGGGTATGAGTATGACTGGGAGGTAGGTAACGTAATTATTTAAGTTTATATTTAATTAAATATTTATTCTTCCGATAAGGTGATTCCTCGACCTCGAGTTAAGGTTATATTTAGTAATAATTTAGTTGAATATTTCTTTCAGCCAGCTCATTGGTAGCTTAAGTGGATTGTCTAAGTTTATGCCAAAACATTAAAAAAATAAAACTAAACGTAAAACTAGTAAATTTATAGTTTTATTTTTTTATAGTTTGACAACACAAGTTTTAATATTAAATTGTGAGTTTGCTGTCATGCGTCGTCATCGCAATATTTTAAGCTATACCATACCAAAGCTTGTTTTCATAAAATTTGCCGGCATATTATGACATGTAGAATTGCCAACACAAAATCTGACCCAATTCATTAATGTTACAAGTCTATGCACGATGCATAAAGCCAGCGGAAACTGTTTTCCAATTATTGAAGAGCCTGGCAATGCCAATATTCATCAAATCTCCAACCAATTACTTCATAGCTTAAAATAATCCAAAGCAGAGGTGCCGTCAAGCCCTATTGAGAAACTGTGCGTCATGAATTCTTTTGTGGTGGTTTCCCTATATATTACCGGGTTTTCTTCTGATAGCAACTCATTGATTGGACCGTACAGCCTTGAAGAATTCTCTGTTTGAAATTGCGGTCTGAAGAAACATGCCACTGAAATTCTTGGACCAACATTTTTTGCAAGCACTCTGTGATTCACGCTTTTAAACTTGTCATTGGAGATTAGCTGCATGCACAGAGACACAAAAACTTGTATGAAATCGATGAATCAGAAATAAACTGCATTTCAAAATCTAGTACGAAAATTAACTTGCCTGTAACATGTCTCCCAAATTTACGACTAGACCTCCAGGAATTGGAGTAACATCGACCCATTGATTTTCGTGGAGAATTTGGAGGCCACCAATATGATCTTGGAGAAGCAAAGTGAGGAAGCTACTATCAGCATGGTTGCTAGTGCCCATGGTTGATTCTGGTTCAGGGCATGCCGGGTAGTAATGGCACACACAGAAGAGTCCCTCTACACAACTCATGTCTTTCAGGTGATTTGGACTGAGACCAAGAGCTTCAGCTATCAATTCAAATAGAGTAAGTGCTAGTTCCTTAGCCATTCTCGTATAATCAAAGATTATATCTCTGCATATTAAAAGCATAAAAGGTCAGCCGCATGGAGACAAAAAATATGCATCACGAAGGAACATTGTGGTGTTATTATATACCTGCATACTTCAGGCAATTCTTCAGGATCTGGTGGATTAGGAGCCATAACACAACTCAAAGAATCCCTCCAATTAGCAGCTGGTGCTACGTACAAATCAAAATTGGAATTATATAGCACCTTGCTAGTTTGGTAATCACGGTTATAAAACTTTTTTTTCTCTTCAGTATCTTGCTCATGAAATCTACGTATCCCATCAATCATTTTATTCAGCATGCTTACTGGAATGCCATGATTGATAACCTGAAAGAATCCCCATTTCTGGCAAGCATTTTTAACTTGGTTAACTATCTCGGAGTGTAAATTTGCCTCTTTCCTGACGCCAGCTAAATCTATAACTGGGATAGTAACATTGGACTCTGCAGACCCTGATTTACCGAGCTTAAGGTTGTCATGTATGAATATCTTTGGAATCTTAGTCAGCCCGGCATCAACAAGTCCCTTTACACCTGCTTTTGTGTCATCAAATGCCTTCAATTCATCTTTGCGGTTGTAGCTGGATCCAGTTTGTGCATGAGTATCACTATCACCAGAGCTTTTCAGACTGGTGACCATCGTATTTTTCTTTTCGTTTTTCGTCTCCGAATGTGAGATGTGAATGGGAGAGTTCAGGGTAATTAAGTAAATCCTTTACGTGCTGCCTGATTATCGAAGAAAGCAATTTGTTTCTGTATATTAAAAGACAACTCATGTGATTAGGATTAATCATACCCAAATAGAAAGTATATACTATATAGCAAAGTAAAGCAAGCCCTTACATGTTACTAAATTCCAAAGTACTGTTTTTTATCAATAAAATTCTAATGTGACGGACCTTTTCAACATTTTAAAAGCACATACAAATCTAAAAAAAAAAAATTCCACACAAACAGATATCTAACAGACCTCAGCATTGCTCGAATACACATTGATCTTAATTTTTAACCACAGAAATAAATATCAAATTAATTTATGAATTAGGGAGAATCAATAGTCTCAAAGATAATAAAAATATTTAACTATCTTTTGATAATTGAGTGGTACAATATAAATTTTTAAGTGTATTAATTAAAACGTCATAAGTTCAAATCGTTTTTTTTATTGTTAACAGGGTGATTGGAAATAATTCAAAGGTTTCATGTGCGTAGACTGACCAAATATTCTGATCAATAAAATAAAAAAAATAAAAAAACATAGTAGAAGTATTTAGTCACCACTTGGAAAGTGTTAAGCGGGTACTGGGTACAAATTGTCACCAGATATTTTTATAATAATGCAATCAATTTAGCCCAAAACTCCAAGGCAGTCAACGGCTGACCATGAAGAGTCGAAAGACAATTTTGCCCCTAATCTGTTTCAACGATACTATACAATACAACACATTTCCCACCAACGACCACCGTAATCAACAGAGTGTCTGAGGATCATCATCACCTCCATTAATTGCAATATAAAATGAGTATTTATTAAATAGATGCAGGGAGTTGCTTGAAAGATTATGGTTAAGTTCCTTATGTTTATTTAAAAAATTTCTAGTTTTATTTAATCAAAATATTTTCAATTTATCTTGACGTGTTTAATTTAAACCAACTCAATATGAAAAATGGAAAAAACCTGCTTCGAACTCAGGTGGTGCTACGCGTGTGTCTCGACGGCTTCTTTGGTTTTCCAGGCGTCGGTATCTAAGGCAGTGATTCCGGAGGCGGAAACAACGAGGGTACCTCGGCGGAATATAAAAATATAAGTCTTGTCTGGTGGCTTGAATAAAGAGGAGTTGGGTAGGCCGTAGGCTATGTAGAGTTGAGCTGGTTATGGATAAGTTACGACTATGAAATTAAAAGAGGGCTGGGTAGTGACAGGGCCGGACCAGGCCTACCCTCACATTTAAAAAAAAAAATAAAAAAATTATATTAATACATATATATAGAGGTGGGTCTTTTGGCCCAGTCCCAAAATCCGGTCCTAGGACCGAAGGATCGGTCCTAGGAGGCCTAGTCCCAAAACGGGACCAGGCCTAAGGAGGAGGGCACGGGCCCTCCATTGGGCCTTCTCCAAGGCCGGGGCCTGGGACCGGTCCCAGCCTGGGCCCAATTTTTTTTATTTTTTCAATATAACCCCTGTCAAATCACCTAAAACCCCCTGTTATTTTAAATAAACAAAAATACGAGGGCTAAAAGAAATTTGACAAAATTTATTAAAAAAAAAAAAAATTAAAAATAACCGTTGGCTGCTGCAGGCTTGCAGCAGCCAACGGTAATGTTTAAACTTATAACCGTTGGCTGGCAACGGTCACAGCCAACGATTATAAGTTTAATATAAATTAAAACTTTTTTTTTTTCATTTCATACTATAAATAACCCTAAAATCTTTCATTTTTTTCACACCAATCAATCTCTCATTCTCTCATTCTCTCAATCTCTCTACTCCAAATCTCCAATCAATTTCTCATTCAATTTATATTTATAATTTATTCATATTATTTATTTATATTATTCAAATTTTTTTCTATTTTTCAATATCATCATAATTTCATATTATTATTTAATTTCTTTTCATTTTAATTATTTATTATTTTATTATAAATTTATAATGGCTTTCCCAAATCAATTTTACGTTCCATCCAACGAAGAAATGGAAGGCTTCAATCCATTTTCACAATTTCCTCCAGAGGAAGCAGCTGCAATTCCACAACCACATTCGGTCGGGACGAGGTGTAGCCAAACACATGCGAGCTGCGAGTCAACGGGCACAGGCATAGCCCAACCCCCCCGACTGTCAAAGAGGGTCGTGATCGATGTATGACGATACTTCACCAAATCAAAACGGCCAAAGACAAATGGGGAGGGGGAATAATCGTGTGGGATATGTAATTTTTGTGGAACCATTATAGGCGCTGAGAAGGGGACTTCGACGATGCGACGACACGTGGAGAAGAAGCACCCCCAAATAATGCAGTTGCCCGATTCATCTTCAAGCGGATCAGGTAGACAAATTCAAACTCAACTTAATTTTAATCCACAATCCTCAACTCTCTCAACATGGCAATATAATGCACATGTTGCACGAGAGGAAATAGTAAGATATATAGTTGCTACGGACTCTCCCATTTGTTTATCTGAAAATCCTTTTTTTATTCATATGGTTAAAACTGCATTTTGTCCAACATATACCGCTGTTAGTAAAAGTACAAGTAGAAGAGATATACTAAAACTTTATAACAAAATAAATAATAAACTTAAAAACGAATTTCAAAATTTTAGGAATATATCTATTGCACTTACATCAGACATATGAGCTTGTAGATCAAAAACCGATTTTTAACTGTCACAGTACATTTCTTAGATCATAATTGGGGTTTACAACAAAAATTGATAGGTTTTAAACCATTATATGAAAAACATAGTGCTGAAACTATTTATTTTACTGTTCTTGAAGTTTTGCAAGAATATTTATTAACTGATAGAGTTGTAGCGCTAACGCTTGATAATGCAACTGCTAACACCGCGGCAATCTCTTTATTTGAAAAGAAATTGGATCCGAGTGGTGAAGGCAAATTTTTTCACCAGAGATGTGCTTGCCACGTCATCAATTTGATAGTTAAAGCAGGTTTAGATGCTATACATTTGAAGATGGAGAAGGTACGCAGAGCTATCGGATTTATCGTTAGCGGTAGCAATAAAAGATGGCAGGAGTACATCAAATATTGTAGGCAAGAGGATCCACCGGTTCGACCTTTGAAGTTATGTACAGACATGCCTATCCGTTGGAACTCCACCTACCTAATGTTGGAAAAAGTTTTGCCAACTGCGAAACAAATTACAGATTTCGTCAACCGGAAGAACCATCCAGAGGAAGTTGTCAGCTATGATGATTGGGCAGTTTGTGAACTTTTTTATTCATTTCTTCAAATTTTTTATGATGCTACTAATACATTAAGTAGTATTTATTATCCAACTACTAATTTAGTGTTAGATATTTTACTTCAAATTTCTAAAACTTTTGCTCAATATAGATATAATAACATTTTAAGTGAAATTGTTTCAAAGATGGAAGAAAAATATGAGAGATATTGGTTAGATATTCCATTCTTATATGGATTAGGCCATGTTCGAGATCCTAGGTTTAAATTACACGTAATTAACTGTATAATTATTGAGATAGGCCATCATTTAGGACATGATTATACATCTTATATGGCTAACTTTAAACAAAAATTGGAGAGCCTTTTTTTTTTATATGAGAACAGGTACAGTGGAAGTGGAAGTGGAACGTTCAGGAGAGAGGATCCGAACCTCAATGTAGCCCTCTGTCAAGGATCGAGCAAGTGGACGTATGTAGAACGTGGCGGAAGTAGCAGCTCCAGCTCATACATACATGGACCAAATGAGCTGAATCATTACCTACAAGTGGACCTGTCCTATATGACGATGAAGGAGCAACATGATATGGATATTCTTCAGTGGTGGAACCAACATGAAAGTCGATTCCCTATTGTAGCCCAAATGGCACGTGATATTTTATCTGTGCCGGTTTCTACAATTGCATCCGAGTCAACATTTTCAACGAGTGGTCGGATTATTGAAGACAGAAGATGCTCTTTAACCGATGAGATGATTGAAGTGATAATGTGTTTACGGGATTGGACTCATGCAGAAAGAAGACTACAACAGCACCCTGAAGATCCCGAACTATTCGAACTCTTTAGGAATACTGATTTGAATTATGTAAATACTGTTGACGATGAAAACGAATAATTTAATTAAAAAAATTATTTAATTATTTATTTGTGAAGCGTGAATGTGTGAAACGTGAATTTATGTTAAAAATTAAAATTAACTATTAATTTATTTATTTATTTATTATTTTTTAAAATTAATTAAATTTTTAAAAACTTACTAATCTACCCTTACAAAATATTAAAAACCCCCTATAAAATTTCGTTTCACCCCCAAAATATAAAAAAAGATTAGGGAGGGAAAGAAATTGTCCAGGCCCATAGACCATTCTAAGATCGTCCGGGTCCTTATTTTGCTCATGGGCCCATGAGCTACTGGTCCCTGCCCACCTCTCTCTCTCTATATAATATATATAATATATATATAATATATATTATATATATCTAGTCTATCTTCAAATTTAAAAAAAAAAAAATGAGAAATATTATACATATATTCAGACTCATAAAAAACTTGCTATTAATATATATATTCTATGCCTACATCATATTAAAAGTTTAAAACTCTCTCCACTCTTTTCCACTCTTTTCTACCTCCATCTGTTTTTTATGATTTTATCCCTAAAAATTTGTATTCTCTCTTTCACTTTCTTTATGTTATTCGTTCTTAAAACTTTTGAAGATTAAAATTGTTGAAACTTTCACTCATCAAGGTGCGACAATTAGCTTCGTTTTATGTTTTCTCAATTTTAGGTATGTGTATTACTCATTTCAATTTAGTTTATTTTAAGGTTGAAATTGTTGAATCATGCTTATTTTTTTAAGGTTTTTTATTATAATTTGATTAGAAAAGGTATAAATCTTGTGAGTTTGTTTTGTGTTTTGTGTTTAAGAATGTTCTTGCTTTCCCAAATTAAACTTTAAATATATTTTATTGAACATTATTCTTCGCCTTTCACCCACCAATT